ATATATGTGTGTGTGTATGTGTGTGTGTGTGTGAAAAAGAATGTATCTATCTTTCTACCTCTCTCTGTATCTCTATCCCTCTGTCTCGCGGGCTGGCTCGCTCGCTCCCTCACTCTCTCACTCTCTCTCTCTCTCTCTCTCTGTGTGTGTGTGTGAGTGAGAGAGAGAGAGAGAGAGAGAGAGAGAGACACCAACACACAAAAATATCTATATAAAAAACACACATATATATATATATATATATATATATATATATATATATATATATATATATATATATATATATATATATATATATATATATATATATATATATATATATATATATATATATATATATATATATATATATATATATATATGTATATATATATATGACTGATGATGCTAAAGTTAGATCACCTTAGATAGTTGAAGTAGGATGAGCTGGAAGAGCAGAGTGGATCACTGGCTCACGAGCTTGATGACCTTGAGATAGATGCGATCATAAAACACGTGAACTAGGCCGGGGGTTGATCCGGCGGAAACCCCTCTGACGCTCAAGTCAGACGTGCGGATAGTGGAAATAGTCCAGAGAATACAGTTGGTAGTATTGCTCAGATAATAGGACGTACCTTAAGGAATGAGTTCAAACCTTTACTTATACCTTAGTTGAGATTGTGTGGCCCAAACCTTAGTTGAACATGATTGGACCTCGGTGGTAGTGGTCTTCAATATTGGGTTTGTGGCCCAGTAGGTAAAGAAATTGTAGGTCCATTAGGTTGGCCCAATTATGTATATTATTAAGCCCCTCACTCTCGAGTCGATATGGGGGCCATGTTGAAATGGGTGTCAGATCGTGTCGAGAGTAAAAATTGTAGAAGTCGCTCGTTGGCGTATGGCCTAATGGTGTGCGAAAATGCGTTTGAGCGTGTGTTGGAGGGGCATAAACGCGCGTTGTCGCGATCTAAATTACTTGAGTCGTTGGTGTTGTTCCGCGACGATGTAGTAGCGCGGATCGAGTTATTTCTTCGTGGGAGTTGTCTCGTCACGGGGTAATAGAGTTGATCAAGTTATCTGCTCGTGGGTGTTGTCTCGCGATAATGTAGTAGCACGGAGCGAGTATTATTCTCGTGGGAGTCGTTATTTATTGACATTGTCAATGTTATGACGCCTCGCTTGTATGTGTTTACGTATAGCTTTGTGCGTGATGTACTTGATGAGGAGATCAGGCTCTCAAGATTTTTTTATGGGGATCGTGCCCCTTGATATACCTCGTGGTTCGTAAGTATGTTTGGACCATGACCACGTTTTAATGAAGGACCCGTCGAAACTAAGTAGATAAATTTGAGTAATCAAGCTAGTCATGCTATATATATTCCCATAATATCTCTAAGTGTTTCTAGGGTTATAATCATATTAACTTGAGCTTGCGATTATGTAGTGAATTGTGGGCGAGTTGTCTCCTCGTGGGAGTTGTCTCGCAGCGAAGTTGTATGAGCATTGGATGACGCGCCACTGGGGAGCGTGCAGATCCAGGTCGCTCTGATGGAGTTGTCTCTTTGTTGGAGTTGTTTCGCAGCGAGTCTTATTACCGATCGAGATGGCTCCTCGTGGGAGTTGCCTTGCAACGGGTTCGTAGTGCCGAGCGAGTTGGCTCCTCGTGGGAGTTGTCTTACTGTGGGTTGTAGTATCGAGCGAATTGGCTCCTCGTGGAAGTTGTCTCGCCATGGGTTCGTAGTACTGAGCGAGTTGTCTCCTCGTGGGAGTTGTCTCGCTGCGATTCGTAGAACCGAGGGAGTTGTCTCCTCGTGGGAGTTGCCTCGTAACGGGTTCGTAGGACCGAGCGAGTTGTCTCCTCGTTGGAGTTGTCTCGTTGCGGGTTCGTAGGATCGAGCGAGTTGTATCGCAACGGCTATGGAGCGACGCGCGTATCTAAGTTTCACGTGTGGATCGATATCGTACGGTGGAGGATCACATAGGTCGAGGTCGCATGGTAGAGGATCACGTGGGTCGAGGTCGCACGGTAAAGGATCACGTGAATCGAGGTCGCAGACGCGAATGGAGGTCCGCGGTGGAGGAGCGTGCGGGGAAGAGGAGCACGCGCATGTAGCGTGGTTGGAGATATCGGAGCGTGCGTTGCGCAATTGGCGCAGAATCAAGTTGAGAGTAGATCGGTGTTGTGTGTTAATCATTGTTGTGGAAGAATTATAATAAAGATATTATTATTCAATTTTTTTTTGGGCAGCGCAGGGCGCGCGCATGATGGGGCGCGAGGCACGGGCGTGTTGGGAGCGCGGGGAGCGGGACGCGGGTGTGTTGGGTACGTGGGGCGCGAGCGTGCGATGTGGCGCGAGGAGCGGGGCGCGCGATGCAACCCGGAATTTTTTTTTTTTTTTTTTTTTTTTTTTTTTTTTTTTTGAGCTGGTTGATATCCACCGCATTGGGGTATTTCTTATCCTTGGGGTAGAGAGATGATACGCAACTCTTAGGATGGGATATCTAACTCTTTTGGGTAGAAATGTAAGAGGGTGTACCACCCTTGAAATAAGATGTTCAACCAATGGGATGAGATGCCCAACCTTGGGGCGAGATAGCCCCCAACTTAGGATGAGGCAATGACGAACCATTGGGATGAGATGTCCAACCTTAGGGTGGGATAGCCCCGAACTTAGGGTGATGCGATCACGAACCATTGGGATGAGATGCCCAACTTTGAGGTGGGATAGCCCCCCAACTTAGGATGAGACGATCACGAACCCTTGGGATGAGATGCCCAACCTTGGGGTGGGATAGCCCCCCAACTTAGGATGAGGCGATCACGAACCATTGGAATGAGATGCCTAACCTTGGGATGAGAAGGTCCCCCAACTTAGGATGAGGCGATTACGAACCCTTGGGATGAGATGCCCAACCTTAGGGTGGGATAGTCCCCCAACTTAGGATGAGGCGATCGCGAACCATTAGGATGAGATGCCCAACCTTCCGCGATCATACGCTGAAGGTCCTCTTCGGTTATCTGAACCGTTCAAGGAGCAAGGAGAAGTTGATCATGTTGAGGACCAAGTAGGGCATAGCGAGGGGAGCGTTCGCTTCCTTTGCGATGATGTATGGTGCCACTGCTTCAGTGGCCCGAGTTGAAGATTCCGGAATCGTACGCTGAAGGTCCTCATCGGTTATCTGAACCGTTAGAGGAGCAAGTAGAAGTTGATCTTGTTGAAGCTTTTGCGATCATACGCTGAAGGTCGTCTTCGGTTATCTAAACCGTTCGAGGAGCAAGGAGAAGTTGATCCTGTTGAGGACCCAGTGGGGCCTCACGAGGATGAACTTGTGTTGGATCTCGAATGCGGGGAAGGGGAATCGGTAAGCCGGAGCCTCCATGAGATGGGAGGTTGTTAGCATTGAAGGGCCTCCTCGGTTGTCTGAACCGATCGAGGGACGGGAAGAAGTGGATCCTGTTGAGGATCTAGTGGGACATCCGAAGAAGGTCTCGTGGTGGATCCCGAGCACGAGTAGGAGAAAATGGCACGCCAGAGCCTCCACGAGGTGGGAGGTCGTTAGCAGTGTCACACTCCCCCTGGGCAAATGTCTCAAGGCCATCATGCGCGCTACGTGATTATGTATGTCTTCCCACAGACGGCGCCAAAATGATAATGCTAAAGTTAGATCACCTTAGATAGTTGAAGTAGGATGAGCTTGAAGAGCAGAGTGGATCACTGGCTCACGAGCTTGATGACCTTGAGATACATGCGACCATAAAACACGTGAACTAGGCCGGGGGTTGATCCGGTGGAAACCCCTCCGACACTCAAGTCAGACGTGCGGATATATAGTGGAAATAGTCCAGAGAATACAGTTGGTAGTATTGCTCAGATAATAGGACGTACCTTAAGGAATGAGTTCAAACCATTATTTATACCTTAGTTGAGATTGTCGGGCCTAAACCTTACTTGAAGGAGATTGGACATCGATGGTAGTAGTCTTTCAATATTGGGTTTGTGGCTCAATAGGTAAAGAAATTGTAGGTCCATTGAATTAGCCCAATTATGTATATCAGTGACATATAATTGCGAATAAAACACAATACATTATATAATTTACAATAAAATTCCCGAATTGCAAATATTAAACACATGTTTAAATTATGATCAACTGAAAGGGGCCGTTTTATTTTTCCTTTTTTTATCATGAAGGAACCTACAGCCGACCGTATAGATGTACTGAGTAAATATATATCCTCGTATAATAGCTTACAAATTGTATGAAGAATGTAAACCACACTAGACTAACTATGTGTGATAAACTCGATCTAACGACCGTTAGTAAGAGAATTCCCACTAGACCATTCTTTGGGGGACAAAGAAACCTTTTTAGATTGATGTAGCAAATGGCTTCAAATTTAATTATGATTCGGTTTAAATATTGCCTCACGGCCACCAAACTGGTGATATATGTAAATGGGACAAATTTTGAAAAAAAAAAACTAATAGTTATTATAATATACAATCATGAACTAGTGACGAGTTAACACGCTTTACGAAATGGTTGACAAATGTTGCCAACAAATTATTTAATTTAATTTAATTCACACCTACATATCCATCCGTGCTGTTCAAGCTAAGAACTCAAAAAATTAAATTGAAAGACTGGTGTATATGTATCACGTATGCTTATTAGTGTCTTGTCTGTACAATATTTAACAATAAATTGATAAAAGTCAAAACCATAATAAACATATATTAAGTCAAAAAATGTTGCCATTTGCTAATAACTAAAAGTTGACATTTCGAATAGAAACAATTTATATATTAAAAAAATAATAACAACAATTCTTAATCAATGAATCTCATTTACAGCGTTTCAAGACAAAAAAAGAAAAACAAAAAAACCCATCCCAGTTTGAATGAGTGCCAATCTTTCAACGCTTCAAAAAAGAATCAAGAATGAAAAACTAATTTATTAAAATATAAAAAAATTAAAAATAATATTACATATTATTATTATTATTAGTTATTATTCAATTAATTATGAATTTTTTTCCTTCTTCCCATGAAATCATGTATTCTTGAAAGAGCTACTTCAAGAGTCTGCTCACTCATATTGGCGAAGCAAACTCTGAACCAGCCCGGTTCGGAGCAATGGCACGACGAGCCCGGAGAAATGTTCACTCTCACTTCATGCAAAATCAACTCCCACAATTCCAACTCTTTTTCCTTCGTTTGTTGGTCGAGAATCGTACTCAAATTCATCCAACAAAACAAACCGGCGTTCCCATTCAAACACTTAATACCGGCCTTATCCAATCCATCCACAATCATACGATACCTCTTCCGCAGCCTCTCCCGATTAACCCTAATGTACTTCTCCGTAAAACCCTTGTCCGAAAGCATGTCGGCCAAAAGCTGCTGCGTCTGCGAAGAAATTAACGTAAAACTCGACATTCTTCTCGCCGTAGTGACGACTTTGTCGTTGTAGGAATATATAGTGCCAACCCTAAACCCGGGGAGGCCTAAATCTTTCGACAGGCTGTAAACGATGTGGACCCTCTCGGAATCTTTGTAGTTCCTCGCCTCGAGGATTTCGGAGACGCTGACGAATTCTTCCGGGGAGAATGAAGAGCCCGAGTAGATTTCGTCGGAGATTAGATGGATGTTTTTTAGGGTCGCGAAGTCGAGGATTTGTTCTAGGGTTTTGCGTTTGATTGTTGCGCCTAGAGGGTTCGATGGATTCGTAATCAAGATTCCTCGAACTTTGATGTTTTTCAACCGAGCTTCGTCGTAGGCTTGGTGGAGGGATTGAGGGGTAATTTCGAAATTGTTGGAGCTTGTACAGTGGATCGGTACGATGTTTACGCCTGTTCTCCATCTGAGGTCTCTGTCGAACCTGTCGTATTCGTATTGTTTGAGTTAGATTAGGAGATTGGAAAAAAGAAAAAAAGAAAAAAAAAATGTCAACGAGCGTGATTCTTGTGGCATGTAATAAATCATAAGTTTGTATATATATATAATATTATTTATTAATATAAATTACCCTGGATAGTAAGGAGTTGGGACAAGCAAAGCATCACCGGGATCAGCCAATATGAATGTTAGAAGTTCGTTTGCTGCGGTGGCGCCGGCCGTAATAACTATTCTTTCAGGGTTGAACTTTGCTCTTCCACCTCTTATTTCTTCCATGAAACTTGCCATTGCCTATAAATTATATTAATATATATTTATACACAAGAGGTTATAGTTTCATGTTGTTGTATGTATATGTTGAGAGAGAGAGAGAGTCTAGAGAGAGAGAGAGAGTTGTATACCTTTCTGAAAGAAAGAAGTCCATGATAATCTTGAAACAATGCATTCTCTCTAAATCCGGAAGTTGTTTCTGAAGGTTTTTCTTCCAGGTATTGCTCTACCAAATCAAATGAAACCTGCTCCAAAACAAAAAATAAAAGAAATGAATTTTGAGTTTGATAAATCTTCTAAGACAGCCATGATTAGAATTAATATATATATATAGGTACTAAATAACTTACTTGATTTTCAGCAAGTCCCATCTGTATGACGCCACAAGGATTGGTTAATTCATCGTAAGGGTTTTCGTCGTAAGCTTTCCAGCCTGCGAAATACGGCGAATCTTCACCGTGTGTGTCCGAAACTGCAATTCTTGATAAACCAACCACGCAGCCGCCTTGTTGCTCGATCTCGATCGCCATTTTTATCAATGCTTAATTTGCAGTGTAACTGAGTAAACTCTGTTCTCTCGTATAATAGCTTGCAAACCACAACAGATATCACTGCTTAATTCTTTGTTGTGGGAAAAAAAAAAGAGATAGAGAGAGAGAGAAGGGAAGTGTTTGAATTTTCTTGAATGAAGTTAACTAATTGTCAAACTCTCACCCATTTTATACACGAAGATTTGCTGGAAAATGGGCCCTCATCTTACATGGAAATGATGATAATAAAATAATAAGTGTGAAATTTATAAAGAACCAATGATTGATAGTTTAAGATCAAACCTCACTTTTTGCAAATTTAAAATAATAATTGTTTTTGTTCATCACTGGCGACAACTGTACATATGCTTGTCATCCTTTTTTTTTCTTTTTTCAAAGGCTTTGATCTCTCTCAATCTCTAAGAGATCCACATCAAATTTGGTGGTTGAATGGGGGTGGGTGTTTTTCTTACCTTACTATATTTATCAATTAATTTTTTAACTTCAATTCCCATTTATTTAAAAAAAAAATTCAAGATTTTTATAATCTCTGTTTCTTTTGCTCTTTGAATTTTTTTTTTTTTTGCTCTTTGAATATTAAACTCTTGCAGATTATTGAGTGGTGCCAATTATATGTAGAGTGATTAGAGTGTTCAATTGAGGATTAGCGTGTGACTAATTAATGTGTTTATCACTTGAGATAATATATTATATTTTGATTAGATCACTAAGCTATCCATAATTTGTATCGTTCAATTTTATAATTTTGTTACAAACGAAGTCATATATAGCTACATAAGTAGACATGACCACCGGTTTGGTTAGAATCGGAACCAACCCCGGGTCAAGGGTTTTAATACTTAATCGGAATTGGTTTGACCAAAACCGGAATCGGAACCGGTTTGACCAAAACCGGAATTGCAACTGGTTTGACCAAAATCGGAATCGGAACCGGTTTGACCAAAACCGAAAAACCGGTTCGGTTCCGGTTCCCCATTTTCGGAACCGAGAACCGACGGTTAGAACCGCGGTTCTAACCGTCTCTCTCTCTCTCTCTCTCTCTCTCTCTCTCTCTCTCTCTCTCTCTCTCTCTATATATATATATATATATATATATATATATATATATATATATATATATATATATATATAGTCAAGACCGGCCGGTTCTACCGGTTCTAACCGGGAACCGAACCGCAAATAACCGGAAATATTCGTTTCGGTTCCTGTTCCTTCAAAATCGAAACCAGAACCTGTGAATTGGAATCAGAACCGAACCGTGGTCATGTATGTCTATACATAAGTGTACTGCGTGAACTCCACTTTCGTGCAATAATCAGCAAACTTTATGAGAGGTGTAAACTGACAGCCATGTTGGGCAAACTCTGTGGAACGTGTTAGAGTAGATGACCAACATGCCAACTTTTGGTTGCGATTTTTTTTTACTTGTATAACACAATCTATTTCTTATTAATGAAAAAGCATTAGGGCAAACTATATATTTTGTCCCTATACAAGAACTTAGATATAGACCTTATAGTTACTCTAATATACTATAAATTGACCTAGGAGAATCGTGAGATAATTCATTTGGTAAGTAACTATTGAACCAGTTCCTAGTCGATGAGTTACGATAATAAGTAGGATGGTGACTTTTCTCTTTCGAGACTAGCACTTAGTATATGTGAGTCGCGTCTCATCAGCTACGGTGTAGAGACTCGACATACTTGAGTGAGTGCTTATAGTAGATGAGTTAAATGAACGCACTCGTTCTAGAATCTCTAAGTGGGTCCCATTTACGGAGATAGATGTTTTATGATTATAGATGTACACCATTAGTCCTTAGGACCTAATACACATCACTGTGACTTCACTAGAGGACCAACTGTGTTGTGACCTGTCACTGAGTATCATCGAAGATCGCTTCAAGGCCCAACATTCGCACAGTCCAAAATCTAGTAGGAGTTTGTGTATTGTAGTTAGGATTTGACAACTTGCTTATATGCATGAATCTCTTGTGTGTTCCTTCAGTTTGTAACCATGGAGTCTTCGATCGAAACAGAAAGTGGGGTGATTAGAGAAAATGTTTTGTCTGGATCACACATGAATGAATTATATAATTTTAGATAGTCCTCACGATTATCAAACACCATTAGAGGTCTCGATGGGCCAACACATCTATTTCGATTGGGACATGTATTGTCAAAAGGACCGTATTGTATGTCAAGTATATATTTAAAGTTCTTGCAGACACTATAATTTTCAGTATGTGCCATTATAGCTATTGCATTTGCTAACCAATGGCATCTATTTCAAGTGGATGTTAAAAATATATTTTTCTTAATGGAGAGTTCTCCAAAAATGTTTACATGCAACCGCCGCCTGGACTATATGATTATCCTAACAAGGTTCGTCATCTTCGTCGTACTCTTAATGATCTTAAGCAATCTCCACGATCTTGGTTTACCAAATTTAGCTCTATTGTTTATGGATTGGGTTCCTCTAGCAATTCTTATAATTCTGTCTTATTACTCTGTCACACTGATAAAAGCACCATTTTACTGGTTATGATCCTAGTGGAATTCAAGAATTAAAGGATTTTCTCGACTAACATTTTGAAATAAAAGATCTTGACCCATTAAAGGATTTTCTCGGTCTAACATTTTAAAACAAACGATCTTGACCATTTGAGCTATTAGTGATGTTCCTTCTTATAAATTGGAACCCCCACGAGAGAAGAATACACAATTCAATTAATTTACCGCAATAGTTTCCGTATCTTAACATTGAAAACTTAGGATTAAGGGATTTTAATTAGCTAATTTCCCTTAAGAAAAATAAATGTTAATGGTGACCACGTTTAGATCTCATCAACCACATAAAAAGTATGAGAACCTTCGAGTTCAAGAACAATATATCAAGAATATTTCAAATATATATATATATATATATATATATATATATATATATATATATATATATATGCAGATATAGATATGTTAGAATTTAGAAAGATCATTTGAGATTCTGATATTGCAATGGAAACCAAGACCACACTAGAAGCTACCAAATTATACCATTGCGCCACTACTTAGCCTTAACCTTAAGCAACAAGTTCTAAAAAAAATAATAATAATAAAAGAATCTTAAGCAACATAATTAATTCAAACATGCATCCTTAAAAAAATATCTATAGAATTAATTGTAATACTAATCATAGGCATATATATATCATGTTCGCACTAATCATTGTTTCATCACTATTTAATCTCTTTAATCAATCGAATTGAAATCCTATGTTTGCTAATCGAGGCTTACATTTAATTTGATCAAATTTACTAGTTCAACGATGAGCGATGCATAATTGTTGTCAAGAACATCCTTGAAATGTAATTATTTTTTCCCATTAGGAGATTGTATTAAAATTAAATAGAAAATGACGCAAAAAATAAGATTAAATTTATATTCAAATTGTACCTCTCTAAATATTGAATATTTTATTATTCAACAAATCTAGTGTATTTTTGCTAAAAAAAAAACAAAGAAAACAAAGAGATTACACTAATAGAAAAATGGTTATTTACTACTATTATTAACAGTAGCAAAAAGCACCAGATTTATAGTAAAAGAATTTTGCTACGTATTTATCACGAATTTGCATACACGAGCGTGATAAATTTTTTGCTATGGTAGCAAATATTTTTTTGCTACAATAAATCCTAACATTTGCTACGATTCCATGATTGTTCCGTAGTAAAAGGTACATTTTGTTACAGCTTTTTACCGTAACAAAAAAAGTCATTTTTCTACTAGTGATATTTTATAATTCGACCTTATTTTACAAGTGTTCATAAATTACCCCAAGATTTTAAGCTCCAAAACTAAAACTAGATGCTTTGTACGAGCAACTCTAAAGGAAATATCAAATAAACATCCTGCAAAGTCGTAACAAGTGAGTTTGTGTCAATTGACCCCAGTTTAGAATCCTCTTGCCAACCGTAGGTAGGTGGAGTTTGTCACACATGGTTAAGCTAGTGTGGTTTACGTTTCTCGTATGGTTTGCATGCTATTATACGAGAGTTCAAGTTTACCGAGTGCAACTATACGGGCTAACCGCGATATATATATATCTATAGTTAAATTAGAACAAGGGGGGGAAAATAAAAGGCATATATAATTTGATTAGTGAAGCAGCCCAGAAGTTCACATTACTACAAGTTGGGGATAATATAGTTAAGCAAGACAACTGGACTACTTGCAAGAAGTACGTTAAGTACTTGCATATGTTTTTTTCTTTTTTCTTTTTTTTTTTTTGTTTTTTTAATCTTTAATTAAAATTAATGTTTAATTAAGAGAGGGCATCAAACATAATTAAGACAGTTTCACTTGTTAACAGCTAATATTGTCCCCAAATTGCAAGTGCATGACATACTTCTTGCTGTACTTTTCGAGTACCATTCAAATTTCAAAAAGGTTTTTATTTTTTTTCCTAGTCCCATTGGCGTGTTTTTGGTCATGGAGCTACATTACTTTATCTTCATGTTTGGTAACTTATTTATCTAAACAATTTATATATATTTTTTTTAAATTACTTTTAAACGCGAGTATTATTATTTGGAAGCACAAGGTAATTACGTCTTCTGTCCCATACTATTTGTCTTTTTGGGTGTTTTTTTTAAACTCAAAATATTTGTCATTTTTATCATTTTGGGACAATTAAGCATACAATGACTCTTAATTACGGCTAACCAAACATCAAACTAAATCTTATATTTTTTAGTTAATCTTGGCTAATCTCCCCAACCAAACGGGCCCTTAGAGTTCCAATAAAGCATTAATTGCATTTTCATCAATTTTGCCGCTTATCAGTCTTAATTAATTAGTTAATTGAAAAATAATAAATGACAAGGGTATTTTAGTATTTATTATGTTATTTTTTTATAAAATTTATTCTTATTTAATTAGGTTTCTTAATATGCGCGCAACCACCCAAAACGACATATAATATATGACTAATTGATCGGATTGTAAGTGTATTTATGAATTAAACATCATTTAAAACAATAATAGTTCCATGTGTCTCAAAATGAAAGATATTCGATTTTGCTTCATAAGTTAAACTGTTTATTCTTTTAATCAATTATGTAAACACACACACACACACTACATATATATGTATATATTTTATATGTTAAGTTGAAGAACCTAATTGACATGCTTATTGCTCGTGTGGTTAGGTGCAAATACTAATCACGAGTGTTGTTTTGCATGGCCTAATCCCAATCTTAATACGATTTGGTACGGAGAATAGCTACCCTAATTACGAGTTAATTAAAATAATCATGTTCTATCTTTTTTGTCAAACTTAATAGCTGTTACATAGAATCTATGATGATGTCAATAGAAGAATATATTGCAAACATTTATTTTGTCGGATCAAAACTTGATTTTTTTTCTCTTAACATATCTATAATTTTATGCTTTCTACAAAGATCATCTCACATAATAAATACAA